CCTGATCAGTACCTAGAAGCTATAACATGTAAATTTCCCCCGTGACGGTTCAATAAAGTTTATCTTGTCTTACCCAAACCCACAGGTCAACTTAAAAAAGCTATGCAAGATGTAACAAGGTACAACATCTACCTCCATCTTGAGACGACCTGTTGCATGAACTAAAGCCGTTTAATAGCCTCATTATTTTATTTAACAGCCAGTCTGCCACCAGCACCCTCACATCATCTCTGTTCAGCCCACTGATGCCCACCACGACATCAAGTGGAATCGATTTCTCCTGCAAGAATCTGTTTTAGAGACACGCTGATAATCACAAAAGCTACAAGGGCTTCCATCACCAGCAGCTGATCTTTTAGGGGGGTTTGTTTGCTGTTTTTTTTTCTGCAAAATTACCGTCAGAAGGAAAGTATGAAAGAAGATGGTTTAGATGTATTATCAGAAACCAACCCCTATATGACAACAGGTGGTCATGATGGTATCAACCATGAGATGTGGTTCAAAAATACAGAAACAGAAAGGAAAGCGAAAATTAAACTTAGAGCTTAAGTGACAACTTTTCAAGAAAAATGAACCCACGCTGAGAAAGGTGAAAGGTCTGCAAATATTTTTATATTTTAATATAAATATATAATATTATATTTTTATATATTTTAATTTGTATAGTTATTATTATTATTATTATCATTATTGTTATTATTGTTGCTGTTGTTGTTGCTGATTTTGAATGATTTAGATATTGAATTTGAATGCTGCTTTTGATTTTGAATTTGAATGCTGTTGTTGTTGCTGATTTTATGTTGGTGTTGTGTTGTTTTTTTCTGGTGTAGCAATTTTCCTGAGGTCTTGTACTGAAGGGATCAATAAAGTTTTATTCTATTCTAATTCTAAAAAAAACTCATCAGTGAACTTCTATTTAAATGTTTCCACCAACTATAAATACAACATATTTCTAATTCAGTGTGGGCGATCTGACAATTTTCTATTGTGGACGATCTTAAATTGGCAAATGATGCCTTTAAAGGGAATTGTATAGATCAGGTCATGAAATAAATAACTGACAAGCTGTCCAAATTTTCCTACTCTGTGTGGGCTCAGAAGTCAGAAGCATCATTGGTTGTGACACAATCAGGACGATGTCCACTGGACGCACTCTGCATCTTTGACAGAAGGCAGCTTAACACTGGTGCTGACAGAGGTTGTGTTTGTGTAGTTTCAGATGTTCAGTCATTGAATATCATCTGCCAGTTTGCAGGGGGGACAATTGAAGGTAATAACACAAACGTCTTCAACCATCTCAGACGGAAACATCCCAAAGATATGTCCAAGGTGGATGTTTGCAGAAAGTGTTTCAGATCCACTACATTCTACTTTAACTGGTACTTACACCAGCTGATGAAAACCAGAGACAGTGTGTAGCTGTGCTTATAAAAGTCACCTTGTCTATTTTTCATTTGATTGACAAAATATAAATATTTGATTCACTCGAAATATTTATTCTGAACGTTACATGTCTACAAGAGTTGCTGAAAACAGGACTGAAGCAAGTAGTTCAAGCTGTGAGTTTGTCCTCTGAACATCCATCCATCCATTATCTATACACCGCTTAATCCTCAATAGGGTCGTGGGGGGCTGGAGTCTAGCCCAGCTGACTCAGGGTGAAGGCAGGGGACACCCTGGACAGGTCACCAGTCTATCACAGAGACAACCAAGCTCACTCACATTCACACCTACGGACAATTTAGAATCACCAATTAACCTCAACATGTTTTTGAATCGTGTGGGAGGAAGCTGGAGAACCCACACTGCACGGGGAGAACATGCAAACTCCACACAAAAAGATCCCAGGTGTTCTCACCGGGATGTGAACCGGCGACCTTCTATGCTGTGAGGCAACGGTGTTAACCACTGACCCACCCTGCAGCCGTCCTCTGAACATTTGGATTCTAATTTCATACACTTAGACTTAATTGTTCAATTTGTTTAATCTTATTAGAGTAGCAGTATCACCTTGAACCACTTCATCACATGTTGGATGTGAGAGAGAAAATATGGGAAACAATGAGACTGACATCTACCGTGATCATGGAAAAAATAAACCAAGAAGAGCTAAGAAACGCCCAAAACTGCCAATAGAGCAGTTGTAAGTCGTCTACATGCTGAGAGAGGTGAGAAAACTGGGATTGAGATTCTTTCCCAAAAAATCATAATGCAAACTTTACACCAGATCGCCCACCTCTATTTTTCTTGCATAACAGCTTGGTGACTGCTAGCAAGCAAAACTGTGTGTGATTCAGGTTTAGGTGAATGCATCTTCCACCATGTGTCTGATGGCAGCTACAGCAGCAGGTCAGAATCATGAAAAGCTGTTTAGATTAACATCAAGAGTGAGGACAAAAGCAAAAAAAAAAAAAACCGAGAGCAGCAGAGACTGATAAAGCAGCAGCATCAGCAGCAGCAGTGGATGCTGCCTCTCTGCGTGAGGCTGCTACTACACATTACAACTGTCAGATGGCAGCATCGGCGCGGTGATGACGCAAAAGGCTTTTAATCTCAGTCATAGGTAGCCCCGATACGAGGCGTTCAAGCTCCCCTCAGGAGACTGGGAAATTCATGCTTCTGCAATTACCGGCAAACGTACACTTCAATA